GCCCACGTACATGTAAGTAAACCTCGCTAGGTGTCAACAGAGCTGCTCTGACACTGTGTAGTTGATTGTGGCAAAGTCAACCAACTGTGTCACTGACCTTCAAGATATCTATAATATTCCGGGGCAATATAAGAACATAATTCTAGCACTGTATCCTAGTTTTTGACTGGCTGGCTATCATCCACTGGCTGTCACCCACTGGCTGCCACTCACTGGCTATCACCCACACTGGCTATCACCCACACTGGCTATCACCCACACTGGCTATCACCCACACTGGCTGTCACCCACTGGCTGCCACTCACTGGCTATCACCCACACTGGCTATCACCCACACTGGCTATCACCCACACTGGCTATCACCCACACTGGCTATCACCCACACTGGCTATCACCCACACTGGCTGTCACCCACTGGCTGCCACTCACTGGCTATCACCCACACTGGCTATCACCCACACTGGCTATCACCCACACTGGCTGTCACCCACACTGGCTGTCACCCACTGGCTACCACCCACTTGAGTCAGGAGGTGCATAACTGATAACAATAATTACATGTAACTGGTTCAGCAGTAATGTACCACCTTAGCTACACAAATATTGTGGTACAATTCCTGAACACATTCAGCGACGCAGTAAATCATCGACCATCGCCCAGAGGACAACTTGTAGGGGATCCATAATAAAGTAATTAAACTACAAAAAAATATGTAGACTGATTAATTCGTAAAAGCTTGTAGATTGATAATTGACTTGAACACCATCTTGCAATCATTAGCTTGGCTACAAATGGCAGGAAACGTATAAGGAAAACAATTAAAATGTAAATTTTTGGAGCCCCTTAATGGATTTGATAGGTGCTAATTAAGTGTTTGATGATGATTCCCGGACACGCTGCCGCCTCCTTAACTGTGGTTTACCTGTTCTTAGCTTCGATAGTTAGGAGCTCGTCTTAAACATTATGACATCATAGTGACGTCACACCTCGTTCACACCACATTATGACATCATAGTGACGTCAGACCTACACACCATATATAAAACTTATTTATTTCTAATTTTCGGTAGGCTGGAATATTTTAGGTTTGGTGTGCTTGTAAAGTAGCGATGACGTAGAGGGGTGCATGCTTTGCTCAGGACTTGGACCCTACTGGGAACGTGGCGACTGCAGATGGCGTCCGGACAGGTTATCAGTGGTGAGAAAATGTTGAAGTGTGAGTAACATTTGTGGGTGAGTGAGTCAGCTTCCGCCCCTGCTGCTGCTGCTGCTGCCTCAGTGGTGGCGACAGGCGGCAACCCCCCCCCCCCCTTGTTATTCTCACAGTGGGACGCCTAACCCCCATGCTCCTCTTATTACTGCCATTGTTATGGTTATATATATATATATATATATATATATATATATATATATATATATATATATATATATATATATATATATCATATATATATATATATATAATATATATATATATATATATATATATATATATATATATATATATATTATATATTAGAAAATAGGAACACTAGTATAGGGAGTTTGTGTACTTGTTCAGGTGGCATAACTTTCATCTTGAGGTCAAATTTTGAGTAATTTACTAATAATGGTCATTGTCTCTCGATGGAATAGCCCACTCAATTCTCTCTCTCTCTCTCTCTCTCTCTCTCTCTCTCTCTCTCTCTCTCTCTCTCTCTCTCTCTCTCTCTCTCTCTCTCTCTCATTTCTTTGTTTTAAAGTTTCTCTCTCTCCCTTACGATCTCTCTCTAAATATGTCAAGTTCTTGGACTGTTTCCTCCAAGTTCGCTGCCTAGGCTCTTGGGTCGACCTCCAGGGGTCTCCGCCAACACTCTGCGTGTCTCCTGAGTGTGTGTAGTGGTGCTTGAAGCGTGTCTCCAGCGGTGGGAAGTCTCTCCTTCAAGTGTGCAGCCATGTTTTTCTCGCAAATGGCGTTTGTTCTGTGTTGTAGAATTCCTTAATTTATTTTCCAAAGATCATTTACTTATAATGATGGTGAATGTTGGTTACTCCGTTTCGTTGGATAACCTTGGGAAAGCTCAGAGAGAAACTTGTGGGAGAAACTGATAATCAACCGGAACACAATCGGTATGAAGGTTGACAAAATGTTTAGTGCTATATAAAGTTTCGGGAAGTTTTTATTTCTTGCGAAACTTAAATATTGGGAATACTGAACTAGAACAATGCCTGGTTGACTAGGCCACTAACGAGGTCTGCAGTTGTTATTTAACATTCAACTTCTCGGTACACAAAGTTGCAAGTATCACGGGCTATGGTGAGCCCGTAGTGGACTTACCTTGGCACAGGAGCGGGGCTGTTCAGAGACCGGGCCTAAGGGGGACGTTGATCCTCGGAACCAACACAGGGTAACATCAAAGGACTCCCAAACTGGTAGAGAGAACAGTTATGCAATTCGTTCTTAGACCAGAACTGGCTTGTTAAGCATGATAAGGAAGGTCATTAGTCTTTGTAAAGAAGAGTGAATCATTATGCTACAATTTCCTGATGAAATTTGAAAGCGTTTTAAAATATTAGGAATAAATAAAATTTTACAAATCCACAAGGGCCGTGACGAGGATTCGAACCTGCGTCCGGGAGCATCCCAGACACTGCCTTAATCGACTGAGCTACGACAGGGTAAAGGGTTTTGTTCATTTGATGCATCACGTTAGTGTGATCTCTGTGTGTGAAATTAAATTTTGTTTCTGTTGTTTATAGAACATTCCATAGATGGCAACTTAATTTGTGATGAAGACACGAGAATGACTTTAAAAATGTTTATTCGCATCTGTAGATATATTTAAGACTATTTCCTTTGATAACACTATTCTTTGTCAGTAGCGAGACCTTTCTTAGTTAGAAAAACCTGTCGATTGGCTGCGTTTACAGTCATACAACTGGAAAACTGCCGTAGTCATATGTTTTGTCAAGAAACATAAGTATAAAAAAAATATTTAAAGTTTGTTATCAATAAAGTATGTTATCAGTAAAGTTTGTTATCAAAAAAAGTATGTTATCAATAATTCTCAAGCACTAAGAAATGTATATAGTTGCTTGAATCAGATGCAGAAACTCGACACTTATCTTTGCACATTAAGCAAATTTGATGATGAGGTAAGTGGTATGAACTGAAACAAGTGGTTACCTTGCGATGATTCCAGGCTTAGCGTCCCCGCGGCCCGGTCCTCGACGAGGCCTCCTTGTTGCTGGACTGGTCAACCAGGCTGTTGGACGCGGCTGCTCGCAGTCTGACGTATCTCACACAGCCGGGTTGATCAGGTAACCTTTGGATGGTAGTGGAAGCCACCTCGATCCTCAACTTTAAGGATTCGACAAAGAATTCGAACGACAGAACCTAATCTTACGATAATTTCGGGGCTCAACATCCCCGCGACCCGGTCTCCGACTAGGCCTGCTTAGCATAATTGCTAAATTTAACTAAGAATAGTTAAAGAATCAAATATAACACAGCAAGAACCACAAGGGTAGTAGGCGGGGCATAGAGAGTTAAGACCGCACTTCCTGGTTGTTCCTGTTATGTAAACACATGACTGCGCCGCTGGTGACAAGCGCTGACACCTCCCCATAGTGTGTTGGCAGCCCCCTCCCCCCCCCTGGTGTAGCGGAAACATTGTAAACAGTCTTTTACAGTCTTTTACAGTCTTCTACAGTAAACAGTCGAGGACCGGGCCGCGGGGACACTAAAGCCCCGAAATCATCTCAAGATAACCTCAAGAAGTCTTTACCTTGGGTGGAGTGGGAGTCATGGCGTCACTAGCACCAGGAGCTCACTAGCTCTCTCTCTCCTCTAGGGTACTGTCAGTACTCCAGGACTTGTTCTCATCCTGAAGTAGACATAAGACATAGAAAAGGACTCAAGCTACAGCACCGTAACATCCTTCCATCTCTCTCTCTCTCTCTGTAGGCTTAAATCCTTTTTAATCTTAGTTGACCGCTATCACTTCACCGCGTTTTCCGATGGCCTTATGGCTAGACTCTAGACGGATGCTGCATCTTGCTGTATTGTCTTGGGGGGCGCTGAGGTGGTTACCTTGAGGTGGTTGGCGAGGGCCAGCGCCCCCCAGCGCGGATCTCAGCCGTGGTGGCTTAGTCTGTTATTATTACACACGGAATCTGTAACATAAGTACAGTGTTGCCAAGTGCAGGCACAAGGTCTCGATACTGCGAAAGAAAGAAGCCGACTTAACACGTGCGAGAGATAGCGAGGTGGCAACATAGCTCAGACGGAGAGGTGAGGACAGGATTGGTAAGGCGAACAACAACATGCGCAGGGGCAACATGCGCAGGGGCAACATGCGCAGGGGCACCCAGGCTGTGATTGAAGTTAAGTGAGGGAGATCATTGGACAGAGAGACGACGAGATTTGTATTTGACGGGAAAGCTAGACGGGGGGGTGGGGGAAATCCAGGTGATTAGACCGCGAAACAGATAACCAAACACACCTTGAACGCAAGCCATGATATCGTATTCTTGACGGGTGTTGACTTGGATGCAAGGCTTCTGCGGCTGTCCCATCAGTTTTGGGGGTTATATTCACGCCCTCTCCCCTCTACTCTCAGCCCCCTCTACTCTCATCCCCCTCTACTCTCACCCCCCCCCCCACTCCCCCCTCTGGGCACTCTTGTCACACGACCACTATCTTATCTAGGCCTCTTCCATTAGTCAGAAACATGGCTATCACTTCACCGCGTTTTCCGATGGCCTTATGGCTACACTCTTAACTCCATGATGTATGCCTACCACTCCTCAGTTGTCTTGCTCCAAGGTCTCGTCCTGTACGTCCCCAACATCTGAGGTGCTTCTCTGTATATGTGAGTATGGCGGGAGTATGTAAACAGAGAGAGAGAGAGAGAGAGAGAGAGAGAGAGAGAGAGAGAGAGAGAGAGAGAGAGAGAGAGAGAGAGAACGTATTATTTCCTCTTATCAGTAGCGAGAGGCGACATACTAGTTGCAACTGGGTTATGCCGTGTCAGTATTAAACAGCTTGTGGTGGTGGTGGCGTGGTCTCTGCGTCAGTAAGCCTGCATACGTGTCTTCGAGTGGACTCCAGGACACGCCTACACCCATAACACATACACACACACGCGGAATTATCAAGGGAAAGTGGCAAGACTTGGCTGGTGGTGGGGGGTTGAGGTGTGGGTAGCAAGGCCTTCTAGTGATAGAGCTGAAGGCGAGGCGTCCACTTGTGTGCTCAGAGGCTCATTCTGTAACAGAAATTCAGAGTGAACACGTGTTACCTGTCCCTACAGTTCTCTCCCAGCCCCAGGTACCAGCCCCAGGTACCAGGTATTGACCAGGTATCAGGTAGCCTACTGCAACCCAACACCTGTTCATCAATCGTGTTCATTACTCCTCTCAACCTCAATCTTGGTTGTTGCGACACAGAAAGTGATAAATCATTCGTCAGTCGACCAGCGATGAATAATTAACTTCCTGATTTGACAGCAGGAAGTGGTCGACAAGCCTCTAGTTATCAAGTGGTAGCACACAGGTGATCTTATAGTGAAGTTACTGTTGAGTTGTACCAGTCATCAACACCAAGAAAGTCAAGTCACTTGAACCGTGTCCTCAAGTGTGACTTGAGGATGGACCAACTGTTTAACTTTGATCGAGGTGAGTGCTGGTTAATACACTCTTGTGAAGTATGGTAAGTCGCTACAGTGAGTATGTATATGTATGTATGTATGTGTATATATATATTGGTGTATACTGGCAGCAGGTTTTCTTTTAAACATGTCTCATTGAATATGCGGTCATATTCAATGAGACTAATATATATATAATATATATATATAAATATATACTTTCGTATATTAATGCCTCTTCAGAAGATTCGTTCTGAAGATGTATATACGAAAGTACTTACGGAAATTCCTGTTTCAATTCTTCCTCCGTGGTCTGACACTGTCACATTTTTCATCACGTGTTAATTTTATATACATATATCACACACACACACACACACACACACACACACACACACACACACACACACACACACACACACACACACACACACACACACACACACCAAGTGTGTCATAAAACATTAGTGTTAAGACAAGTCAGTTATTCGAAATCTTTATGCTTCCCCACGAAATCTTACGCAAGAGGCACTTGGGAGCCAGTGATGCAATGTGCTACTATAGTAGGGTACCTTTGCATTGCGTGACGCAAGGTCCTGGTATAGTGTGATAACTTTGTTGCGTGTGACGCAAGATCCTTCTATATTGGGGTAACGTTACAGTGTGTGAAGCAAATACTAGTACAATTAGTGCAAAGAAAGCGCCGGTATAAAGCTGGAAATTCTCGCTCCAGCCATGCAGCCTTTCTCACACACACACACACACACACACACACACACACACACACACACACACACACACACACACACACACACACACACACACACACACACACACAGGACCGGAGTCATTGCTGTAAACAACCGATGTTCGAAAGACGGGATCCAAGAGTCAATGCTCGATCCTGCAGACACAAATAGGTGAGTACACACACACACACACACACACACACACACACACACACACACACACACACACACACACACACACACACACACACACACACACACACATAATCCGTGTGTGTGTGTAAATCTTATTGCTATTATAGTTATATTTAGACTGTCTTAACGCCATGATTTGGGGATGACAGTGAAGGGTCCAGGAAAACGTGACCTACTCTCTATCATAGCAGCTAGACAGTGAACGTCCTTGTATTTACTGAACCAGACAGTCTGTGAACGGCAGAGTGTGTACCAAACCAGATGGTGAACGGCTCAGTGGAGCGAGGCGAGTATCACCACGCGTCATTTTCGTGTTTATGAACCGTAAACTGAATTTCGCTTTTGGTATTAGGAGAAAAAATGCTTGTTTTGACCTTAATTTGCAAATGTGTAGCCACGAACGCGGTTAAATTAAATTAACATGTCATTATATATGTTCCCTGCACCTCTTTCTCTTGTCCTATCTTGTTCTATCTATCTAAACTCTCTCGGAGCATCTTGTTGCGGTTGTCCACGAAGTTTGGCCAGGTGGGTAACTTTAACAACTTTGGCTTTATAGAAAATAATAAGGCTGCCAACATATATCAGATTTTGAAGGCGCAAATTTACTGATCAGTCTAATTAAGAGTGAGTTGGGGGTTGCGAGGAATCTTGCACGGTTCTCTACCTTGTCTAGATGTCATATAAAGCATGAGTGACAGGCCATCCAGGAGATTGGTGCATACTCAAGATGCAAATGAAATTGCAATTTATGTATGTTTCGCAACCTCTGCTGTCGAGCAGAGACGAGATGCGTCTTTGAGTTCTAAGAATTTTGGCTCCTTTTGATCCTCACTTGGACCGGTGGGTAATACAGCCCGTCCTCCAAGCAATGACATAAAGTCCATTCCATGCACCCGTCATACCTGTTTATGAATAAAAAAAACGGTTTACACACGACTCACAACTGATGACGTTCGAACACTTCCGGAGCAAGTGCTTCACTGACGAATTTTGTTCGAACCACAACGCTGTAAATGCTTCACCCACGTACTACAAATACAAATAATCGCCAACAGAACCTAGACACCTAACAATAAAATAATAATAATAATAATAATAATTTATTCAGGAAAAGTACATACATAGATGCAGAGTTACAAACATAATGTTGAATTTATAGATAGAGCTAGTACATACAGTACCTAAAGCTACTAATACCCTTAGCGTTTCCGGCAAGCTAACCTAACCTAACATAGATCTATATATGCACAATATGCTAATATAATATTAATTTATATTTGAGAAAATATCCATTTTTAATAAACAGCATGTAAAATTTATGAATGCATCTTTGGGGTCGACCGCTGGATGGAATGAACTTGGTCTGAGGATGGATTGGGGTATAGCAACAATCTCGCTTCATATAGGTCGGGGTTCGATCCCCAAAAGTTCCAGTGTTTTGGCACTGTTTCATTTCCCTGCCATCATTTTCCACTTGCTTGTATCCCTTTAAAGTGCTGTAAAGTCGTATACATTGTCAACCACACTTACCGTAGAAATGAACATTTCTACGGTAAGTATAGGCGCTGGAAGACTCGAACCACCGACCCTCATAGTTCGAATCTCCTGGTGCCCAAGTGCTTAAGAGATTTCTCAGGACAATTCTCCTTTATTCTTAAGATGTCAACCTCGTGACAGAGATCTCTGGTTGTCACTCATTGCTATTGGTGGGAATAGAGAGGCCAACCTTGGCGTCAGTCAAGCCGCTGTCATTAACTTGTCATGATTGTATGCTGCTGATGACTCCGATCACCTTGTTCCACTACTGTGCATTGTTCAGTGTTCACTAGGGACCATCTGTTGAGCAGTGTTCACCAGTGACGGAACATGACTGAACCTCCGCCAGGTTTCTCCAGTTCACTGCGCTGTGGTATAAGGTGTAGAACAAGGCCCGGATTCATGAAGCAATTGCGTGCTAATTTACGAAACGTCTACATCTCTCCTCGAGCATGACGGCTGAGTTTGTATTTGTTAAACAGTTTAGAAGCTTGGAAACATCGCGAGGCAAGGTTATTATTGTCTTAACCTCGTAACGCTTCGCTGTTCATAAACTGTTAAATGCAAACTAAGCTGCTGTAATCAAGGATGCACAGGCTTCGTTAATGGACACGTAAATGCTCGTCGAATCAAAGACCTGATTATTCGAGAAGACTTTGCACTGATTTACATGACAAAAGTCGAATGTTCTTAACTTCCTCCATATCCGGACCTTTCTTGCTCCATATCCGGACCTTTCTTGCTCCATATCCGGATCCCTGAATTTTTATTTATTCCTAAATTGATACTTGGTTGGCTAACGTGAACTAAGGACTGGCGATAGGGAAAACCTGTTGTTAATCCCTAGGACTGGCTAGGTCCTAGGCAGCTAGGACCTAGCCAGTGCCCCTGAGAGCACCAGCACCGGATAACCGCGCCACAGCAACAAATCCGGCTGCAGTATGCATTGCAACAGAGCCAGTATCATCCCCCCTTTATATACCATTGTATACGTTAACGTAATAATGATATTGAAGCTATCATTAACGGCTTGTGGTGATTGGCACGTGTCATGTATTGGGAAACATGTCACTAGTCGGGGTGAGGTGGAGACGCCGCCGCCTCCTTATCTCGTACCTGGCTGGCGAGGGACGACGTCTGGGAGATAGTCCAGTGTCTCTGTCGAGCTGGTTGGGCCGGCCAGGCGCGGGAGACGGCATTTTATCTGTGCAAAAGTACGGTTTGTACTAGGGGAGGGGTTGTGCTTGCGCCTGGGTGTACTGGTGTATGGGGGGGGGGGTACTGGTATTCATCTAGTTGTGCTTGCGGGGGTTGAGCTCTGCTCTTTCGGCCCGCCTCTCAACTGTCAATCAACTGTTGCTAACTACTATTAACATTTTGTCACACCTGATCAACCAGGCTGTGACTCATATCTGATCACGATTATACCTGATCGTGATGACGATCGTACCTGATCAACCAGGCTGTGATTCATACGTCAGGCTGCGAGCAGCCGCGTCCAACAGTCCAGCAATGAGGAGGCCTGGTCGACGACCGGGCCGCGGGGTCGCTAAGCCCCGAAATCACCTCAAGGTAGGTAACCACACACATACACACACACACACAGGAAGCAGCCCGTAACAGCTGTATAACTCCCAGGTACCTATTTTACTGCTAGGTAACAGGGGCATAGGGTGAAAGAAACTCTGCCCATTGTTTCTCGCCGGCGCCTGGGATCGAACCCAGGACCACAGGATCACAAGTCCATCATGCTGTCCGCTCGGCCGACCGGCTCCCCAGACAAAGGTGGACTTTCTCAAGAAACAATTAGATAAGTTCTTGCAAGAAGTGCCAGAGCAACCGGGTTTTAGTGGATATGTAGGCCTACGAGTAGTTGCAAGCACAACAGCCTATTGGACCATCCACTTTCATATTGTATATTGTGCTTTGGATACCTGATCAACCAGGCTGTGACTCATACGTCAGGCTGCGAGCAGCCGCGTCCAACAGCCTGGTTGATCAGTCCAGCAACCAGGAGGCCTGGTCGACGACCGGGCCGCGGGGACGCTAAGCCCCGGAAGCACCTCAAGGTAACCTCAAGGCAAGGTGCTAACCACAGCCTCATACTGGACTTTAAGGATTTCACTGATTTCTTTGTCATTCTCTGTGTACGAACCTTCACTTGTAAGTCAAGGTTCAATACCGGTGGAAGTTTTTGGTTTTCATTTCGCTTATGGGATAAAATATTTTGTATTTTTCTTTAGCTCTTGTATAGCTTTCTGTTCCAGTTTCATATCTTCAAACTAGTATGACCGCACCAACCAAGAGGCTTGGTCAGAGACCGGGCCGCGGCACATTGATCCTCGGAACCACCGCAAGGTAATCATACGTTGATCAGTTACTACCTTACCTTGTGACGAGTCTGCGGGGACGTTAATCAAGGGAAACACCACACGTAAGGCAGTAACCTGACAACTGTACCTTGCCTTGGAGTTACCTTGGAGTATTTCCGGGGCTTAGCGTCCCCGCGGCCCGGTCGCGGGATGCTAAGCATAAGAATGAATGA